TGGGGAGTGCGGTCCTGGGTGGGAGGCGCTGCCCACCGTGGCCTCTAATGCTTCCCCAAATGTGCCGGTTTTCCAGGCGCGAGGAGTTTGTGCAGTGGGTGGAGCTGCTCCCCGACACCCAGACGCCATCCTGGCTGGGCCTGCCCAACAACGCGGAGAGGGTCCTCCTCACCACCCAGGGTGGGTGACCTGCACTACCCCAGCCCCGCTGCTGCCGCCACTGTGTTCTGGGTGGGGCTGGGCCTGCGTGGCCTCTTGCTACAGCCCCTGGCCAGGGGTGCTGGCTCAGCGCGTGGGAACTGCCTGCCTTGGAAATGTGTTTTCTTCAAGGGTTGAATAGTACCTGGTATTAGTGACTTATTTACTTACTTACTTATTTATTTTCTTGGTGCTGGGGATGGCGCCCAGGGCCAGGTGCATGCTGGGCAGTTGTTCTACCACGGAGCCACACCCCAGCCCTGAAGTGACACCATAAAACCATCGGTCACTTTTTTTCAGCAGTTATTATTTTTGTTTACAAAGTTTATTTCCCAAGACGTTCAGAAGTGCTTTGAGCCAGAAGGCAGTTAAGACACCGTCTGAGGAGTGGTCGTCTTCAGGAGACAGAGGCCCAGAATAGAGGAGACTGGCCCAGGCGGCTCACCTGAGTAGATGCAGGCAGGTCGGACTCTTGCAGGCTGTGCTTCTGTGCCGTGGCTCACCTTCGCCTGGGTCGGCCTGGGTGCCTGCAGGTGCTTCTGTGAAGAGGAGCCACTGCCCAGAGGGAAGGGCAGGCAAACCGGCCTCAGGCCTCAGAGCCACGCCACCTGTTCACTCCAAGAAGCAGGATGCTTAGCTGTGGCCATGTGGGTTTAGCTAGGAAACAAGGAAGGTCTGAGGCCTGGCCACCACAGGGATCCGGTAGGTTAGGTGGGATGGGGCTCTGACTTTGTCGGTTCAGTGCTGGGCCACTTGCCCTGAATCCTCCCACCTCCATGATGCAAGGACTATTGTCTGAACCCCATGACCCAGTGACACTGTCGGGAGCCTCTTGCCCATCACCACATCCAGTCCCATGGGAGAACTAGCAGAGGCTGGCCTGGACCAGTAGCCAGGGTCCAGGCGGTGGTGCTGGCAGCTCAGGCACTTGGCCCTCAGCTGTCAGTGGATGGGCAGTGGGACAGGGCAGCCACCACCCAGAGCCCCACACTGAGGGGCCTTCAGTCAGCTGGGATTGGCATTCCAGGAAAATCTGGCCATGGTGGGCGGCACCGTGCAGTTCAGGAATCCCCTAGAGCGGATGGCAGTGTGGAAGCCGCGGGCAAAGGGTACCACAAGGCCCTGTGGTGGCCAGTTCTGCGTTCACAGAGCTGAGGGGCTCATGGAGCACAGAGTCACCCTTCCCGTGTCCGAGTGGGCACCAGAGCCCTTGGGTCTAGAAGAGCTTCTCTTCAGTCTATGCACCCAACTGGGTGATTCCATTTTGGGTTTTTGGCACTGAGGATCGAATCGCAGGTCTTCACCACTGAGCTGCCTCCCAGCCCTTTTTCACTGGGAGACAGGGACTCGCTAAGTTGTGGAGACTGGCTTTAAACTCATTTGAAGTTTGAGCCTCCTGCCTCAGCCTCCAAGTTGTTGAGGTTATGGGTGTGTGCACCATGCCCAGCACTGGTTCAGTTTTGCCAGCCATGAACATCACCAGGTGACAGTCGTTTTGCATTTGTCGTCTTACCTTTCTGGCCAAGCCATTTCCTGTGCTCTACCATCAGGAACCAGCTGGGTGGTAGAGCAGGTGCTTAGCACTGCAAAGCCCCAGGTGCCGTCCCCTGCACCAAGGAAATGAAGGCAGGCACGGCAGGGCCTTGGGGGCCGCACAGTTTCTCCAGCTGACCCCACCGTGGCCTTGACGCTCAAGTCTGTTCTCCCCTTTGTGCTTCCCTCCCTCTGCCTGCCCCTGGCACCGTGCCCAGGTGTGGACATGATCAGTAAGATGCTGAAGATGCAGATGCTGGAGGACGAGGACGACCTGGCGTACGCAGAGACCGAGAAGAAAACGAGGACGGACTCCACTTCCGACGGGCGCCCCGCCTGGATGAGGACGCTGCACACCACGGCCTCCAACTGGCTGCACCTCATCCCCCAGACGCTCAGCCACCTCAAGCGCACCGTGGAGAACATCAAGGTAGCCGGCACTGTGGGCTCGGGGTCCTGGCAAGTCCAGCCTCAGACAGGCTCGCCCTCGGTGCCTGGCCACCTTTGGGCTCCATGAGAGAGGAGAGTGACCCTTAGTCCTCCTGAGGGCAGTCAGCTGGCCAGGCCACCCCAGGTCTCCAACTAAGGCGGCCAGCAGTTCTGGGTGGGCTGGGAGTCCAAGGCTCCCCAGAGGTCACCCCTCTCCCGTTCCTGCTGAAGAAGGGACCTCGCCTAATTCTCTTCTCTCTGGCCTTCTCTCCTCTTTGGATGAGTTTAGGATCCTTTGTTCAGGTTCTTTGAGAGAGAAGTGAAGATGGGAGCCAAATTACTCCAAGACGTGCGCCAGGACCTGGCTGATGTCGTCCAGGTGTGCGAAGGAAAGAAGAAGCAGACCAACTACCTGCGCACACTTATCAACGAGCTCGTGAAAGGTGCTGAGATGCGGCTGCCACAGTGGCCAGGCCTTCACCAGGGGCTGCCATCCAGGCCCGCTATCTGGGGACTCTGTCCACACAGGCCACAGGGCCCTAGTCAGGCCTGGCCTCGGGAGCCTGCTGGGCATGGTGCCCTGGGAGGGTGTGGGTTTGGAGGCCCCAGGGTTCTCGCGCTTGTCCTGAGAGCCTGTGGTGCCCAGAGCACTGAGCCACTGCGCAGGTTTTTAGCTGTGGTGTGGTTGGCTCTGATGGTGGACCTCCACACACGCTCACCCCCAGCTGACCTGGCCTGGAAGCTGCACTGGAGACTGCCTGGGCCATCCTGGGTGTAGGCTGGGTGCAGAGGACGGGGCGAGCACCCTGGATCTCGGTGGGAGTCTCGAGAGCCCTCACAGCTTGGCCCCGTGGGTGCTGAGCCCAGGTCTCTCTGTGCTGCAGGGATTCTGCCCCGGAGCTGGTCCCACTACACGGTGCCTGCTGGGATGACCGTCATCCAGTGGGTGTCGGACTTCAGCGAGCGGATCAAACAGCTGCAGAACATCTCCCTGGCAGCTGCCTCCGGGGGTGCCAAGGAGCTAAAGGTGGGGGGCCACACTCTGGAAGTCCACGGGGAGGAGCAGCCCCTCCCACAGGGAGCCTCAGGCAGCTCTGGGGACAGGCACAAGCCCCCACTCACTTGAGCTCCTTCCCGGCGGCTTTTCCCACAGAACATCCACGTGTGTCTGGGCGGCCTGTTTGTGCCCGAGGCCTACATCACCGCCACCAGGCAGTATGTGGCCCAGGCCAACAGCTGGTCCCTGGAGGAGCTCTGCCTGGAGGTCAACGTCACCACCTCACAGAGTGCCACCCTCGATGCCTGCAGCTTCGGGGTCACAGGTGAGCTGGAGTTGTGTGGAGCTCAGGCCCAGCCCCTGCGTGGCGGGTGCTCACTGGCCTGTGTCCACGGTGGCCCCGGCCATTGCTCCCAGGTTGTGTGTTGAAGGTGATGGGCGAGAGCCCTGTGGCAGGGGCTCCACTCCAGGGGTGCTTCACCTTACCTGGCAGGTCTGAAGCTTCAGGGGGCCACGTGCAGCAACAACAAGCTGTCGCTCTCCAACGCCATCTCCACCGTCCTGCCCCTGACGCAGCTGCGCTGGGTCAAGCAAACCAACCCCGAAAAAAAGGCCAACGTGGTGAGTGGCCGCCCTCCCTGGCTGTGGTCAGGCACTGCAAGACACCCAGTGAGCAGGCAAGGCTGCCCTGCACTGGAGCCAGGCCTGCCTGGACACGTCCTCCTCTTTTCCTGCAGGTGACCTTGCCTGTCTACCTGAACTTCACCCGCGCAGACCTCATCTTCACTGTGGACTTCGAGATCGCCACCAAGGAGGACCCTCGGAGCTTCTACGAGCGTGGCGTCGCGGTCCTGTGCACGGAGTGAAGCTAGACTTTGTAGCTGCCTTTTATGTCTAACACTCATTGACCCTGAAAGTGCTCGGAAGGTGTGGACTCGTGAAAAGAAAAGGGTGACAGAGACGGAAAGGAAGCTGGCCGGCGGGGGCAGTGGGAACCGGAATGCAGCAGCAGGAGCTCCGGAGGCCACGGCCAGGCTTGTTTTATGAAATAAAACACTAAGCATGACCGGCTCCTGCCTCCTCTGTCGGCTTCAGCCTGAGGCTTGGGGAGGAGCGCTTGGCACTCACCCGCAGCCTCCTGGGGACAAGGGTGTGGGTCCCCTCCCCTTAGCACATTCGCCCACACCACCATCCCAGATGGGAACACAGTGGCTCAGGGCTCAGATGGCTTCTCCCATCCACATTGGTGGGTGACAGGCGGCTGGCTGTGGAAACGGGTCCTGGCATCTGGGGGTCTGTTGAGCGCACTTGAGGGTGACAGGCCGTCCAGGGCCCAAGTGTGCAAGTGGCGCTCAGTCCCAGTAGAAGCCAGAAATGTCAACCAGCAGCTCCAGTCCACAGGTCAACAAGCAGATGCAGCCTGGCTGCCAGATGCCACCAGTGGTGCCCCGGGGAAGAGACAGTCCCGGCCTGGACAGCTATCCCCGAGGTCCAGGGCTTCCATGCAGACCCCACAAGGAGCACCTGAGGCTTTTCCCAAACTGCACAAAGGATACCCATCACCCGGTGCAGGGCCGCCTCATAGTAGCCTCCTCTGGGGGCACCCCTGGAGCAGCAGGCTCCCCCAGGCCCCAGCGGGAACTCACCTCTGGGCCCACTCACCTCCACAACAGGAGGGTCTGGCTGGACAGTGACGGCCCCACTAGCCAGGCCCTGCCTGGCAGTGCCAGAAGCAGGATGTTAACCACCCCACCCTCTGCCACCTGAGCATCTAACATCCAACAGTGCCCCTCTGCACCCCCGAGGCAGGGCCTCTTCCCCACCATGAAGAAGGAGCAGTTCCTTGTGGCAACGTCTCTTTATTGGCACTTGGGAACGGCGTGGTCCTACTGCTGTGTGGAGAGAGCCAGACTTGGAGAGGACTAGACCAGGACCACCAGCACCAGAACCTCTCGGCTTTTGTCTGCAAGTAGATTAAGGTCAATGAGCAAACCACCTCCCCTCCGGGACTCCACGCCTTGACCATTCCAACAGGCTGGGCCCAGACCAACTGCTCAGAAACCTGTGCCTGGCCAGTGGCACAGCCTGCAATCCCAGCAGTTCGGGAGGCTGAGGCAGGAGGATCACGAGTTCAAGGCCAGCCTCAGCAATGGCAAGGCGCTAAGCAACTCAGTGAGACCCTGTCTCTAAATAAATACAAAACAGGGCTGGGGATGTGGCTCAGTGGTTGTGTGCCCCTGAGTTCAATCCCTGGTACCAGGGGCTGGGGATGTGGCTCAAGCAGTAGCGCGCTCACCTGGCATGCGCGGGTACTATCCTTAGCACCACATAAAAATAAAAAATAAAGATGTTGTATCCACCGAAAACTAGAAAATAAATATTAAAAAAAAAAAAAAAATCCCTGTTACCAAAGTAAAAAACACACAAAGTTTCAGTGAAAGTAAATTGGGCAGGAGCACTTGTCTGGCCCTGGATTCCATCCCCAGCACACTCGCACACTCACACTCACACTCACACACACTAGTAAAATTAATTCTCTGGGTTTGGGGAAGGGAGGGGTTAATAAAGGCCACGTGAGGCCCTCCCTGAAAGGCAGACCCATTTTCAATCTGGGTGATGAGGACAAGTTTCTTATTCAAGATCTAAAAAGGGCACCATGTGACACCATGTCTTTTTTTTTTCAGTTGCTGATGGACATGACCTTCTTTTATTTATTTATTTTATGTGGTGCTGAGGATCGAACCCAGGGCCTCACAGGCCAGTGCTCTGCCATTGAGCCCCAGCCCAGCCCCCCGTGTCTCCTTTGAAAAGCTTTCCTGCTTATCAACATCCCTCTTGACCAACCATGGCCTGGCTCCTCACGTGGCCTCCGGACCCCTTCCTGAGCTAAATCTGCTCACCTTGGATCAGGCCATGAACTGCTTCTTTCTCTTATTTTTTTCAGGCTCTGCAAGTAAAAGTTCCAGTTTTCTCTTGGAAAGCGAGAGTTTGGGCCCTTTGTCTCTCTCGCCTCCGAGTCTGGGTAGCATCCGTGTCCCCTTGGCCTTGCTGGGCGGGTGTCTGCCCAGCTCCAGGAGTTCCACAGGACTGGCTGGGTTGGGTGCCCTGGTGGCTCTGGAGTCCTCCTGGGCTGTGTAGGGCCTCTCCGCCTGCCTTCCGGCCTCCTGAGGGCCTCCGGGCTCCAGGGGCAGCCTGACTTCACTCTCAGGTTGCATGTCCACGTCGTTGGCTCCCAGGGATATGGGGGCCCAGCAGGCAGCCTTCACCGAGAGGTGTGGGGCCTTGGATGGGAGAGCGTTGTTGACACCGGCGTCCTCGGGACTCCTGGACTTCAGTGTAGACAGAGGCACATTGCTCCTTTCACCCAGGGAACAGCCAGAGAAGGAGCCAAACTGACCAGGGCAGGCTTCTGAATCACCATCGTAAGAATCTAAAAACTGAGGACAAAAGCCAAGCTGAGCCTGTCAGCAAATGGCTAACAGAGGCAGATGCACGAATTATTTCGTCCACCAGAGGTGTCGGCAAATTTAAATGCTCTGCCTTAAAGTGGATTTTTATTTTTTCCACTCCTGGGGACTGAACCCAGGGATGTTCCAGCACAGAGCTACATCCCCATTTTTTTATTTTGTAAGTGAATTTTTAAAAATGAATTCAAATAGCCAGCCATGGAAGCTCATGCGTATAGTCCCAGCTACCCTGAGGCTGAGATAGAATGGCCTGAGTCCAGGAGTTCAAGGCCAGCCTGGGGAACAAAGTGAGACGCTGTCTCAAAAACAACAACAACAAAAATAGATCAGTATTCCATAGAACTCAGATAGCCTGAGTGCCCGCCATCCTGGGGGCTCAGCCTGAGCCTCCTTGCTGGTCACTCTCCACCCAGTGACCCAGGGCCAGGCACAGGACTGGCAGCCTTGGCCCAGGAGCAGCCCTACAGACCATCAGTGGGTCTGAGTCCCTCCTCCCTCCTGATGCGTCTTCCAGAGAGCGAGGCCTCCTTTTCTGGTGAAGGATAGACGGGGGAGGCCCCAGGCCCCAGCAGGTGCACACACATCTGGAAGGCCATCAGATTCCTGGCTACCGTCCCCTCCTTTAACCTTCTGCTTCCTGATCCTCACTGAGTGGCTCTGGAAGTCATCTCATTCAGAGAATGTCAAGTCCCCAAGACTGACCTGACAGGTGGCCTCTCAGAGTCAGGCCCTGAGCTGGCAGCCAGCAAGCAGCTCTCAAGCGCTGTCCCCTCTCCTGTGGAAACAGCCTCCAGGTCTGCTAGGAGGCCCCAGGGACACTGCGGCACCATCAGGCTTAGGACATAACCCACACGCTGGCACATGTGTGCACACGCACGCGCACACGGAAAGGCCCCCAGGGCTAGGCAGAGCTGAGTCTAGGCGGGGCCCGCCACCGGGCACATCACGTGGGCAGTGAAAACCTCCCCAGAGAGCTTGTTTCCTCTTTTTATTGTATTTTTCTGGTTCTGTGGATGGAACCCAGGGCCTGACACATGCTAAGCCTGTGCTCTACTACTGAGCCACACCCCAGCCCTTCATTTCCTCTTCAGACAGGTGACACTGATATTTATTCCAAAAAATAAAAGGTAAACGTGATAATAGACAAAATCATCTGTAAACAATTGTAATTTCAGATTCTGAAACAAATCAGAATTGCTCTAGTCCACAAGCCACATAGCAGTCGGTACTCAAGAGGCCACAAGGCCCCAGTGGCCAGTAGACAGCACTTACAGACCAAGAGGAGCATTCATTCACGCCCTGGTTTTTGGCTAAAATGATCTTTTGCCTTCCCTGTTGACTCACGCCACCCTGGACCAGGGTTACCCAGAGCTGTGTCAATTATTGAGACTGATCTTAATTTGGACTGGGATTAATTTTAATATTGACTATTCGTTAATCAGGTACAGTGGCACACACCTGTAATCCCTGCTACTCAGGAGGCTGAGGCAGGAGGATCATAAGCTCAAGGCCAGCCTCAGCAATTTAGCAAGGCCCTGTCTCAAATAAAAAATAAAAAGGGCTACAGATATGGCTCCGTGGTAGAGCGCCCCTAGGTTCAATCCCCAGTACTGCAATAAAAGAAATTCGGAAGACTGAAAATAATCCATTTGGACTTTAAAGCACATTTTTTTCTAAAATATCATAAGAGTGGGCGGGGGATAGCTCCGTGGTAGAGTGCTTGCCTAGCGTGTGTGAGGCCCTGGGATCTATTCCGAGGCAAATAGGAAAAAAAAAAAACTGACTGGATATGGGGGTGGGATGCACCGGCAGTCCCAGGCCCTCTGGAGACAGAGGCAGAAGGCTCACTTGAGCCCGGGAGGGGGTGGCCAGCCTGGGCAGCCCAGGGAGACCCCATGTCAGACAAAACAAAGCAGAACTCTCCTTAATCACTGCTTCACTGCTCTCAGGGGACGTCACAGGGCAGGCCCACCACAACCGGCCCCAAGGGGTCTGGTCCCAAGGCTCGCCTTGGCTGGGGCAGGGCTCTGGGGAGGGCCCCCTTTGTTCCCTCCATGACAAGTGACTGCGGGCCTTGGTGACATACCTCTCTCCAGAGAACTTCAGCCAAGTCCACGTGATTCCTGTTGTGGCTGACCTGCAGGGAAAGGGCTGGAATGTTCCCTTCCTTCAGGGCGGCCACCCAGGGCCAGGGAACTCGGGTGCCGCTGCCCACGTGGCAGGGTCCGCCCTGCCTGGCCCTCGGCTCTGGCGAGGCGGGGAAGGACGAGCACAGGGCGGTGTGCAGGTCGGGTCTGGGGGCCTGAGATGCAGGCCGAGCCTCTGCTAGCAGGAGGGAGGAGCAGGACCAGGGGTCAGCCCCAGCCCTCGGTGGCCAACGTGCTCACTGTGCTCCAGCCACGGGGAGGAGACAGACAAGACGCACCTGGCACCGGCTCTGGACCCAAAGCCAGAGGTGGAGGAAGGGCCGGAGCCCCTTCCCTCCTCCCCCACCCCCCAGACTCCGAGGCCCTGAGGCCAGGCCTTGCTCAGGATCGGGGGAGCCACACACTGAACCTGGGGGCCCAGGATGGCCGAGGTCTGAAGAAAGACTCTCAAGGAGCTGGCACGGACCACCCCAGTGTTTACAAAAGGCCATCTTTGCAGACTGAGCAAGAGCCACAGGGGCATTTCCCGGGGGTCCCTCGCCCCCCTACCCTCCCACCCCGCTGAGGCAAAGGGCAGCAGGCAGGGGCACCTGGAGGCGACAGCGTGCATTCCTCTGCCTCTTCCGGAAGCTGGGCCCAGTGCCAGTGGTGCTGAACGCTGCCCTGATGCAGTTGGGCCTGCCGCGCCTCAGGCTGGCCATGGCGTGGACTTGCCACTAACTGAAGAACACCAAGGGCACAGGGACAGAGCACAGGTCAGAGGGTCCAGGGCAGGGGCAGCTGCAGAAGGGCAGGGGGCACACTCTGGGGCTTCTCTGTTCTGACTGGCAGCTGCCAGTAGGACATGCACAGTGCACCCCAGGGGCCACCGGCACTGTGGCCAAGGCCAGCCTCAGCAAGGCCACCCAGGGAACTTCCAGCCACGGCAACTGGCCAGGCGTGTGGGGTGGACACTGCCAAGGCCATCAGGCTTCCTCCTTGGCCAAAACAAAGCCCCTGGGGACACAGGAATTCATCCACACGTGATGTCCTGGAACCCAAGCGCTGGGCGGGGACTTGGAGGCCACATGCTCCTGCAGTTCAAATGGGACCCCCCCTGCTTTATTTATCCATTTATTTATTTACTTTTGGTGTTGGGGAGGGGGCCCGGCACCTGCCTCAGGCATGCTAGGCAAGTGCTCTGAGCTACACTCCCAACCCTTTTTTTTTTTAACTTTGTAACTTTTTAAAATATTTTTAGTTGTCAAAGGACCTTTATTTATTTTTATGTGGTACTGAGAATCGAACCCAGTGCCTCACACATGCTAGGCAAGTGCTCTGCCACTGAGCCACGACCCAACCCTAACTTTCTAATTTTTGAGACTAAGACTGGGTCTCAAGTCTCCAACTTGAGAGCCCCCTGCCTCAGCCTCCTGAGTATATGGGTTACAAGTGGGCACCACTGCGCCTGGCCTATTGCTTTATTTAATTTTTGATTGTTTGTTTTGATTTTTGTTTCTGCACTTTCAGGGATGGAACCCGGGGCCTGGGGCATGCTAGGCAAGCTCACTGATTCTGAGTTATTACCACTGCCCTATTTCTTTTTCTACTTGTTAGTTGGTTTTTACAGTACTAGGGGATGAACCCAGAGGGGATTTGTTGTTGTTGTTTTAACCTTACTAAGAAAACTCGGTTGAAAAGTACATCAGTTATGCTGGGCACAGTGCTACACACCTGCACTCTCATTGCCTCAGGAGGCTGAGGCAGGAGGATGCCAGCCCAGGCAAGTTAGCAAGACCCTGTCTCAAAATAAAAAGTAAAAAGGGGCAGGCACCGTGGCGCACACCTGCAATCCCAGGAGGATCGTGAATTCAAAGCCAGCCTCAGCAAAAGCGAGGCACTAAGCACCTCACTGAGAGCCTGTCTGTAAACAAAATACAAAATAGGGCTGGGGATGCGGCTCAGTGGTAGAGCATCCCTGGGTTCACTTTCCAGTACCCCCAAAAAAGCATTATTCACGATGTTCCAGGGATTACCAACATGACATGCTGTTCACTGATAAACTCAGGTTTCCCACACTGGGCTCCTTGGAACCCACTTCTGAATCCTGTTCAGCAAAGCTTTGAATAAACAGAAAATACAAAAAAAAAAAAAAAAAAAAGAAAGAAAAGAACAAATGGAAAACGATGCAGACCAGCCCCTGCCGTGTCCCCGTGACCTGGTGTTTTGTTCCTGCAGTGCTGGGGACCAAGCCCAGGGCCTCCAGCTTGCTAGGTAGGCATCAACCACTGAGCCACGTCTCCAGCCCTTTTTAATATTTTATTTAGAGGCAAGGTCTTGCTGAGTCACTTAGGGCCTCACTAATTTGCCCAGGCCGGTTTTGAACTCAGGATCCTCCTGCTTCAGCCTCCCAGGTTGATGGGATTACCCAGCTTCTCATGTGAGCATTTTAAAGAAAGGTCCCAGTGGAGACTGAAATCTCCCTTTTTTGTATTATCTGAAGTCTGTGCTTCGTGAAGATTTCCTTAGTTTCCATGTAACGTCTCTCTCTGCCCCAGCGTCCTGTCCGGGAAGCTAGACATCTCTTTAGGTTCTTCTTGGCTGTGACAGTTTTTCAGTAAAACCTTCTTCTGAGGAAACCGGCTGAGTGCTTTTTAGGGTGTCCTGGGACCAGGAGCGCCTGATTCCCTGAGAATACACTGGGCTTGTGGGTTTGGGTAAGAAGACCAGAGACAAAGCACTGTCCCCTCGCAGCCTAAGGAGAGCACAGGCACGGCGCACAGCATCCTGGGAGCTGGTGACCGCGAGTGCCCGGCTGCTGGAGTCAGCCAGGTGACCCTCCATATCGCGTCATCTTTGGAAGGACCTGTGTGCAGCCACACTGGAGAGGGGTGCTGCCTCCTACTGGAGGGCAGAGGAGCTGCATAGAATCCTGGACCTGGCCCATTTCTCTATTTATCAACCCACCTTGATTTCATGCTTTTGGTCATAAATCACACTACCTTGTTTTGTCCAGCTGTGGCTGGAACTTGTTTAGTTAGTTCTGTGTCCCTTTGACACACCCAAACCTACTTATTTTTTCTTTTTTTATGTTATTGCAGTACTAGTGCTTGGACCCAGGGTCTCGAGCATGTGAGACTGACACCTATCACTGAGCCACACCCCCAGCCCTTTTGATTTTGAGACAGGTTCTTGCTAAGTTGCCCAGGCTGTCCTGAACTCGGGACCCTCCTGCCTCAGCTGCCCTATTAGCTGGAATTACAGGCATGTGCCACCACACCTGGCCCCAAACCTGCTCATCTGACCTCTAATTGTTTCTCTAGACTGATTTAGATAAAAGTACCAAAAGAGTGAAATTAGAACAAGCAGAGGAAGCTGCTCAGCCCTCTCCCAACTCCCCCAGGCCCACGCCCTTCCCAGCCTCACTCACAAGAGGTCCTGGAGTCAGTACCAACCCCAGGTCTAGATCAGCTGGTTGGCGCCAGAGCAAAGCGCTTCTTGTAGTTTGTAAAATTTGTAATCAGAGGCATTTCATGTACCTGGTTTTAAAGACAACTAGATGATACACAGTAAGTATCTGAAGCCCCCATTCCAGAAGCTCTCAGCCCCCACCTTTAGTTCCCTTCCCTGTTCCAGAAGTTTGCAGAGCAGAAGCTCCCTGTGTAGGTTTGTTTGTGCCAGGGGTTGAACCTGGGGCACTTTACCAATGAGCCACATGCCCAGCTCTTTATATTTTTTTATTTTGAGGCAGGGTCTCACTAAGTTACTTAGGGACTCACTAAATTGCAAAGTCTGGCCTCAAACTTGTGATCCTCTTGCCCAAGCCTCCGGTGTCCCTGGGATCACAGACAGGTTCCCTGGCACCTGGTCACCCAGGCCTTTTATAAACCTTTGGCCACCGCATTTCACACCCAAAGAGGCAAAAGTACATTTTTTCATGTATCTCCTGTGAGATGTAAGGCCTGAAGCTTCCTTGCCTCCACCAGCAAACCTTGAAGGGTGACACTGGGCTCCAGGTGCTCCCTGGACCTACCCAAACACCACCCCACCACTCTCAGGGCTGGGACATGACCAGAAGGGCTTGAGCTCTGGTAGTGTTTCTGAGGCCTCCTAGGGATTCAACGGACAGAGGCAGGAAGCTAGCGGGACACACACACACACACACACACACACACACACACAGCAGGGAGCCTGAGGCAGAGTCGCTGGAGCCTAATCTGCTCTCTGCACCACCCAGACTTCTAGGACCCAAGCTTAGGTGGGGCAGACACACCAGGGCCTCTCCCCCACCCGTTGTCCTGCAGACACCCTGGAGAGGTCCTGGAAACCAACCAGTAGTACTGAAGTCACCTTGGTACACCAAGCATCTGCGGCTCTTCCTGACCACCCCCTCTCAACTTTTCTTCCTAGCCAAGGTCAAACTGGGCCCTGGCGAGATCCCAAGAGGAGCTCCACACCCCTTCTTATCCCCTCTCCAGGCCCCTGCCCTCCACCCCGGGGAGTTGGCTTTCTGCCCCTCTGGTTTGTCGCTCAAGTGACACTTTATAAGTAGCCCTGCTACAGCTGCTTCCTGGACAGGCCCAGCCCCAGGTGGGCTCAGGGGGCCACAGCCCAGCAGAGGCCAGCATTAGGCAGCACTGAGGGTGCCTGCCAACAGGGTTGCTCTTGGAGGGTGACAGTGGGCATGTGGGCGAGCCTCGAGCCCACGGGTGGACCTTGACCGTCCTTGGAGCTGTGAGATTATCATCATTCTCCTCCATTACGTTTAACATTGCTGAAGAGTTTGAGTCATCACCTTGACCCAGAATGCCACCAGACCCCACCTTCAGGCCAGTCCTACCAATTCCAGTCCTGCGGCGCCAGGTCACCACCAAGGATGCAAGTCATCAGCCCCAAGGGTCCAGGGTCAGGCTGCTCATCTCCCCATTCAGCCCACCTCTCGCCCAGGGCAGAGCAACTGCAGTTCCAGCAGCTCAGACTGAGAGATCCCGACCCCTCCTCCTCCCAAACCGCGCACCTGTGGCCCAGCAACATGGATGCTGCACCCCCGCCTGCCCCATCTCTCCCCTCACTGGCTTCCCCCTCCCACCCCGCTATCCGTGCTCAGCCAGAGCGTGGCTGTTAAAATGCCACCCCTCCATCCTCTGGGCTGGAGTCCATCAGAGGACCCCCTCCTGTCCCCCACCCACCTTGCTCCTGGCCCCCCCCCCCCTGCCCCCCCCCCCCCACCAGGCACCCCACATGGCCACCTCCCCCACCAGACACTCTCCTTCCTCGGGATCCACCTGCATATGGTGTCCCCTCCCCTCCAATGCCCTCCACTCAGGTCTCCCTGGAGCCACTGTCCTTGCATTTGGACACCCTCACACACACTCACACTTATGCACACACATGTACTCACACCTGTGCACACGCACACAACTCACCTATGCACTCACCTATGCACACACCTACTCACGCACATATGCACACATGCAGCATCGTCACTAACACCCTCTGCGTCCCCTGCGTCCTGGTGGATGGTGGTTGTCCGTCCCTTTTAACTGACAGCGGGTGTTGGCTGCTTTGCCCACAGCTGTCCCCACGGCGCAGCAGCCATGCCCAGTACCATCTGTGTGCGGGGAACACCTGAGTGCTCCGTGGAGACCTCTCCCCAGGGAGCTCCCAAACCAAATGCACTTCCCCAGGACACACCCCTCGGCTCCCATGATCAGTCACAAGG